ATAATAACTGATATATTTAAAGTTCGATACATTATTCTATTAAAAGCATTACAGCTGCAGTAAATCATAGCTTAAATCATCAGTTAATCATTTGTTTACTTATCACCTGTGTGTATTCCTGGCACAGGTGCGGGAGATCATATAAGTTTTCTTTCTAAGCTCAATGCAGACTTGCGGGAACGGTTACATAAAAACTATTTGCACCATAGGAATCAAATGGTGACCATATGTTACTCCATAAGACTCAAGACTAGACACTGAATGGACCATAACCATGACCTTGTCCTAACTTCAACTAGAGCAACTTCCAATGCAAAAAATTAATATGTTACAAACATGCAAAAATCACAGATGAGTCACAGATAAATCTTTGTTGGCTTTTTAACTGTCAGTTGTAAAGCTACTCCTTTCAAAGAACACCATACAATGTTTTCTGGTTGCACAGTTACATGTCAATACAAAAGCATTTCACTAAATGCATATGGACAAAAATGATCATAAAAGGAAATAAACATGGAAAACCAGTCAGAACCTCCCTCCTCACGACATGCACAAATCTGCAATCTGCACATGTACACACTCAAAATGAGGAAATGACATCCAAATCCAAAACTTCTATAATCAAGTACTTATGTAGGAAACATGGCCTTGCCAAGTGTGGACTGATGCAATTAGTCAGGCTACACAATTTTTCAATCATTCAGAAATTGACACAAATGGTCCTAAAATCAGTCCAAATGCTCAGATCAAAATCCCCGAAACCATATAAAATAAAATAAATTGAAAACTATATTGAAAACTTCACTTTAGAAATCACTGCAAAGCATGTCATTCTCATAACAAGGTGGTGAACAATATGTCTGTAAAAGAAAAAAAAAGAGCCTGTAGTATGCAGAAGTAGCAAAGTCTGCACATTTCGACGACAGCCAAACGGTGATGCCTGAAACAGTGCTGCAAAGATCATTCACATCATCACACATGAATGCAAATGGGCTCTATGGAACCACAAGAATCTCAAGTTTCCCTCCCCGTTTTAGTTATGCAAGGTCTGCAGCAATAAAGCAAAGATCTCACAGGTATTTTTATTTCACAATTTATCCAGCGTTACTGACATTCAGCATAAACAAATGTCTCTGTGGGTACCGTAAATGCACTGAAAGGAAATTGTCAGAATTCATAAAGGAACAGATAAAAATCTGTAATTCTTCTCAAACCACCAAAATAAGAGTCATTAACAATATTTGTTTGGGTGCATGTTGCCTGCACTAACCCTAACCCCCTAACCTGACTGGTGCACTTCAAAATAAAAGCAACTAAAACTGAGATTTACAGTTTCATAAAAGTAACTGCCCCCCCCCCCCCCCCCCACAAAAAAAAAAAAAGAAAAGAAAAGAAAGAAAGAAAAGTCTTGCTACTGTGGATTTCCTCTGCATTTGATGATCCTATCATTTTTTTTTTATGTCCAGGCTCTAATCTGTGAACATGAAGGAGTGCTATCTGACACATATTACCGCTGCATAGCAGTAACATACTGGGTCCCTGAACGTTTAGCCAGAAGTTCAACATAGCTACCATTGTTGGTTTTAAAGTGTTATGGGTTGGGTTTTATTACTTCTGTCAAAACATCAGAAGCTGTTGAGCCAGGCCAAGTTCATGACTGGGAGTCCATCTAATAAGAGGCCTTTAACACGAAGATCAATAGGATATCTTGCGATTCATCATAGAAAGAGACAAAGACAGGCCGTGAGAAAGGAAAGCTGTCTGAAATTGTGCGCATCTTTCCAAACACAAAATCACAAAAGCAAGACTGTACAAAAAAAAAAGAATTATTTTCTGATTATGCAGAAGATTAAAATCGGTGTTGAAAATCGATAATCTGCGTGAATTCACTGACTTTCATTTCACCATATGTGAGAAAGCACACGGTTCTTTTTTAATTACCTTTTTTAGCGCAGGAGAGGAAGAGAACAGCGCGTGCGTGCCTATGTATTGCTCTCACCTGTGTACTGAAAAAAACATACCTGAAAATAAATGTACGCCCACTCAACCGGAAGTCTTAATTGATCCAAAAAAAAACCCCACACACACAATTTAACGCTACATGTGGACCCCTAAGAATACCACAATAAAACCGCCGCAAGGTGTTAAACATTTCAAACACAATCAGCCTTCTGTAGCGCGCACGGACACACACAAACACACACATACTCACGCATAACTTCATCGTGAGTAACGCCAAAAGTAATTATATTGTCACTTTGCGTCTTTATTCTCAGCTAGATTGGCTGTATTGATTTTTTTTTTAGTTTTTTAAGATAGCAAGAGGCCAAGTCGCATATCAAATCCGTTCCGTTCGATAAAATGAGATGTGGCGTTAAGGCTCGAGTGTCTCCATGGAGTCATTCACTGGTTAAGAAAAAAGTTCAATTAAATTAAATGAAAAACAAAGCGTAGAATAGACTGTTTGATATTTTTAATAAAAAAATTAATAAATACAATAGACGTTGATCTCAAATTAAAAGTTGCACCTTTTCAGCAAAATAATCAAAAAATCTAAAAATCAGAGGAACAGAAAGTAAAACCATTTTTCCTTAAAAAAAACTAAAACTAAAAAACACTCATTAACACTTTAATGTTGACGCAAAAGTATTATGTCAACACACCAGAACTAATGCATAGCTAGTTAGTGCATAGTTAGAGATCAATGCCACTTTGCATTAAAGCGCTCACATAGTCGTGTTCGGTGAAAAGTTTCTAATATCGTGGCCTTTAATGTGCAGCCGGTGTCCGCGAGAACAATGACATAATAATATAAAAAAAATATTAATAACAATAATAAAACGATAAAGCAGCTGCTGCATAATAGCCGTGGGCCTACAGCCTACTGTACTCAGCTACAAAAGAGAATGTTTTACCCGAGCATCAAAAAAGGGGGGAACGCACTCCCCCTGCGTCGCATTCAAAAGTTGTGGGCCTGCACGATTTGAATGTTAAGGAAGAACATGATATTTTTCATGCCTTCTGTCTGCTCTGTGTTTCCTACCGCTGCGACACAACAGATTGGAGGCCTGTGAGCTGCAGAGGCTCCCAGTGCTCCGATCTGAGTGCCACAAAGCCAGGTATTTGTGTTCATTAGCACCCGGATCAACAGACTATCAAGGCTGTTTAGAGATCAAGACCAAGTGCAATTACTGGCAATAGGCTGGGTCCTCCACACGTTTAAGTATTTTCACAAAGCAGACTAGTTTACGTTTTTTCCTTTAACCCATTTTCTTTGAAAAATGTTTTTAAAAACATTATGTATGTGTATTTCTTGCTTTGTTGTAAACTGTACGGGAACTTTATCCTCTCGTGTATGGCAAACGTGTGAAAGTGACACGATAACAACAAGAACACGACTGAAAAGTGGAGATGGGGGGGGAATGTTAGTGTTTTTATTCTCGTTGTTTTTCCTTTGAAAGAAAGAGCGCTGAAACCCCCTCCCTGAAAAGGAATTAAACAGCGCTAAAATAGAACAGATTTATTTGGGACGTGTCGTAAGTAAAGCTCTTTATTTAATAAATAAATCAATAAATACATACACATTTCATGTCTGTTTCAAATGCTTGGCACGGAGTATTTGGTCTGAAATGACTTTGTTGAATAGCCTTAATTGCGTCTAATGCGAGGTCGAGGTTCACGCTGAATTAAAAGGGAGGGAGGCAAAGTTACAAAGTTTTCTGAAAGGGCCTGGAAACACGCAAATAAAGCACGTCCAACATACGACAGCATATTCCTAAAATAAAATATTTCCCCTACATTATAATAAAACAACATACAAGCTAGAATGCAAGCTTTCACAAAACCACAGCTCAAGTCACTATGGTTTGGAAGAAAACAAACACCAAGGCAGAAACAAAATAAAATGACAACAGGCCCGCAATAGAAATCGCGATGTTGTGAAGCATTTGTCTTTCAAATGAATTGTGGATAAATAAAGCCGAGTGATCCACGCAGGGCTGTGGAAGCCAAAGTGCATTCATGCAAGAATAAAATCGGCGGTTTAAGTAAATGTAATTCATAAATCAACCCACCAACAACAAACAAATGTCAAACGATAAACATGGTCCATTTCCAACAACAAAGTGCTCATGTTCACACTCACACTAAAAAAAAGAACCGAATACATGAATTTTCCGTGTGACGCGTCCAGCAGCCCACAAAAGTCGTCGTATGGGCGCTCTCAAGACACATTATTGATTGGCATTCCCTCGAGGAGGAAACCGCCTGCTGCTGCAGTCCAGTGGCCTTGGGTTTTGAGACGAAACAAATTAGCGGGAGAGCAATATCTGCTGAGATTTGAGCAGGATCGAATTAAAGAAGAAGAAGAAAAGTCCTCATTAAAATATTGCTCTTTCCTTTCTAAAATCGCATCTCTGCGTCTCAGTTTGCAGGCAAATGAAAGAGTGCGCCCAGGCTCGCCGTGAGCTCTGCAGCGTGCAGCAGAGCAGTGCCACAGCGCCCACTATTTTAAAAGCAGGGAATATTATTTCACAAGACTTGAAACGGCTCTATGAAAAAAAAGTTACTATCCATTTCGACAACTTTCTCGGTAGCTTCAGGAGAGGAATCTGCGCCTTCGCGGAAGCCCCCGACAACCGATAAAGAGCAAAAATACGAGATGAGGCTCAATTATGGGAGACAGTGTTTATCTATGCCTTTTTATCGGAGTGTAATCAGCTAAAGCACCAGCGGCGTTTCTCATCACACATGAAAACTTTTCTTTTTCTTTTTTGTTGACACTGGAACCAGCGAAGCCAAGACCGCAACACGCAGGGAAACGAGACTGAGCGGCCGAAACGGGACATATTTACAGCGGAAAAGTTATTTTTGAACAAAGAGTAGTCATATCCTCTCTTAAGGATATGGCAAATGACAAGGACACAGTGGACATCTACGGAGCCGGGAGTTTGGAGCCGGTGGATTAACGCGATAAGAATGGGGGAAAAAATAAGACCTACTTTTGGCCAGTTTTCTCGCCCTCGCCTTGGATCTCATCTTGTCGGCTTGTAGATTCCTCTCGTCGTCCTCCGTGAGCCCAGAAGCAGCAACAACACTATCTTCATCTCACCAGCATTGTCAGTTGTGATACCTTCGCACATGCGCACAGGCCATTCAATCTGACACCCTCGCCGGGGCCAAAAAACTTTCCAATGTATTCATCATCATCACTTTTTTTTTTGTCCTATCGTCTCCCCTTTAGATCACTTATCTCTTCCCCTCCTCCTCTTCCTCCTCCTCCTCCTGCTCTCTCTTCACCATCTCACCTTCCCACCCTCCCCCCCCCTTCTCACCCCTCCACCCGCCCCATTCAGCTCCTGCCAGCACCCTCTTGGATTTTTACCCCCTTTAACAGCGACTGCTTGGTTTTCTCCAGCACAGCGGTGAGCGCAGTGAGGTATGGTGGTGAGGTCAAGGTCGTATTGTAATACTGGAATTACATTTTTAAATATAATTATATCATTATTACAGTATTTATAATTAACATAATATATTATTTTGTTGTTTTTGTTCCTGTTTATTTAAAAAAAGAAATTGTGCTATAAAAATACTTTCCTTTCTTAATTTAAAGACTTACAGAAACTTTGTGTTTAGGCTGTTGCCGCTACTGATACCTCAGTATGTGTTGCTGGAGCTGCAGAGGTTATTTTTAACTTCATTAATTCACACGCACACGTAAACAGGTCCAAGGCTCGAGCTCGATTGTGGTTGCAACTTTACAAGCTTACAAGCTATGATTGTGTGTGTGTGTGTGTGTGTGTGTGTGTGTGTGTGTGTGTGTGTGTGTGTGTGTGTGTGTGTAAAAACCATGTTGCCCTCAGGACAAGCAGCGGCCAGCAGCTGTTTGACGCATGCACGGCGCCTCCACCAGCAGAGTCCTACCGGAGAGACGTCCATGCTTTCTTTCTTTTTTTTCTTTTTTCTTTCTTTCTTTTGTTTCCTTCTGTGTTCACATTTGTAACAGCCGTGTTGCTTATTTCTTGGATAACTTTCTCTGTCCACAGTTAGCAGCAACCGTGCGCACACTGCTTTGGCAGATCACCTGAACGCAGGTAGCCAGATTGCAGGCTTTCTTTTTGCAGCTGTGACTTTTGCCTTGCACCTGTTTGTTTGTTTGCTCCAGACAGAGGAAGACCGTCTTTGCGTTACGTGCATACAGGAGTTCGATGTAAGGACTCAAAGGTAACATTTAGATCTCTGTTCTCGACAAAAGAATCTGCTCAAACACAGCTACATAACCATTCAGCACAACATTTTCTTAACTTGTTAATGTACAATTCAGAAAACAAACTGAATTTACACGTGACATTTTGTTAGACGGTGTAGTTTTATTACAACAGTTTTTAACATTTGTATTATTATTATTGTTGTTATTATTATTATTATTATTATTATTATTATTATTATTATTATTATTATTATTACATTGAATCATATGCACAAAATATTTTTGCTGATGTCCAAACATTTCATGAAAAAAAAACGAAAGACGCAGTAAAATGCTGTAAACGTCTATTCCGATTTAACTTTTTTTTTTTTTAAAAATCTTCTGACTTTTTAAAGCAACAAGATCCGGTTTGGCTGCCAGGCCGCTCGATATATTCATGTGGTGCCTGCATGGGCCTTTAGCCTACATGTCATATGGGAATGGTTTCCGTCTAGTTTAGCTGAATAAAGGCGGCTCTATGTTGGAGCCTATTAAAGATCGGTGACGATGGAGCAACTGCAGTCTGCTGGGAGAGCGGCAGGGATCTATTCCTGGATAAATTTTTTATGGGCTATGCTACTTACAAATCCATACGCATTATTATTATTACTACTACTATTATTATTATTATTATTATTATTATTATTAACAATAATATTATTATTATTATTATTATTATTATTATTTCTTGATTACACTGCTATACAAGCACTGCGAATAATTCGGCGATGTGTGACAGTTCTTTGGTCTCCTTGCATCCTGACTTCTTACAGTGCGCGGTAATCTAAATAAAGGCATCGAGCTCATGTCCCCAAACAGTCTATACTGGGAGAGAAATTGCCGTGGGATGTTTTCCCACGGGTTGAAGTGAAACGAATGACGTGATCATTAATCAATAACAATCAGCAGTAATTAGCTTACATTAAGTGCATATTAGGGAGTTTGTCTCGCATCATGAGGCGAGGAGGTTTGCGTTGTTGGCTTGACAGAATGCAGAAATGAAGAATGAGAAGTACGGCGTGTGAGGGCCACCTGGTTACCTGTAACCTGTTAATATATTTTCTTTAGGATACTATGAAAAAAATCTTCAGGTAAAACACGAGGGGTTTATTTAAAAGCGAGAGAGAGAGAGAGAGAAGCTCACGGCCTTGCACGCGACGCAAAACAGGGACCGACAGATAGAAGAAACGGGTCGATAAGCACATAATAAATTATGTGAATAACAATCGTGTACAAAGGTTTTGTTTATTCCTTTTGGTATCCAACAGAACCGTGGAAGCGTGACGACAAGCCATCGATAATCCATCGTTTTAATCGACCGGCTTTGTCGATACCTCCTCCTTCATCCAATTTCAGTCAGAGGAAAACTACAAAAAAGGGACATTCAGCAGAACTTTCTCCACTTTGTCGGAATAATTTCCACCAGTCTCCCGAAAAAGTTCAGACCTCTCAATATTTCCTGCACATCGGGTTGGACAAATGCTTTCACGTGGTGCAACACCTTTTTTTTCCCTTTTTTAAAGAGCAATTAACTGTGATTATGCTTGCAAAGAAAAGTGTTGCTCTCCGACACTGGGCCGTTGGGGAATACTTTTCTGCGCCATTTAAAGCTTTAAATGCTTTGGGGAAACAGAACGGCTGCTCGGAGAAACTTCGCGTTTCGTAGCATTTGCTTTCCAGAAATGTGACGTGCATTTTTTTTCTTCGTCCCCCCCACCACCGCTACCTCTCTCTCTCTCTCTCTCCCTCTCTCCCTCTCTTTTGTCTTGCCACTGGAAAGAGCGCAAGAAGGCAGCACTGCTGGCTCCGTCCCCGGAAGAGAGGTGTGCTGCTGCACTCGCGTTCAGTCATCTGCACGTGCCGGGTCGCTCTCCGTTTTATTCCCTCTAATTAGACTAAAGAGAAGCAGATGGGATTCATAATCAGCGGAAAGTGACAACAAACAAACAGGCACAAACAGCAGTGAGATCCAGTTCGATAATATATGCAAAGCCTATAATTATCCGAGTTTTTGTTTTATTTTGTATGATCATTTTTATTATGTTTGCCTTTTACCTGCTAAAGAAAAAAACACATCTTTAAATTCGCCCACGCACATCCTCCTCTGTGTATCGCTTACAAGCCAGCATTTCTCGTCAGCATCATAAACCCTCTACAGATGCATCCGAGGCCTCTTTATTCACGCGTGTGCTGATTATATCTCCAGTGTTAAAGGGCACATTTAAACTCTGTTAAAATTCCGAGAGCTCATTTAGATTAAGCGATGACGCCTTTACATAACGCGGGGTGACATGCACGTGAGATTTCTCAGCAAAGCGACGGCCTTCCCCGCTCCTTCTTACAAAAACTCTAAATTATTGTATTTCATTTTTTATTTTTTCGGCCTCACAGCGCTGACTTCATAGGTGATTAGCCGAAATATATTTTCAGGCCTGGGAAATTTTGATTATTAAAAAAAGCAAAACACTCAATTCCAACGTGTAGGCTAAGACGCTGCTAACGGGTCATTATTATATCTATTTATTAATTCAATAATGTAA